AGCGTTTCTAGTGGCTAAGATCACGTCACATGCAACACTTATATTTCTGTAAATAAACACCATGTTTCACATCGTTTTTCTCACAGTTCTTTTTGGAGTCGTTCGGACTCAGTCGTTCTCGAAGATGCAGATGTTTCACAATACTGATAAAGAGTCCAGCAGTGGGACAGTTTTTCTGAAGCCAGTATTTTGTAATGGCTTTTTTATTTGCTGCCAACATGATCTTTAGGAGACAGGGATCACCTTTGCTTTGTCCTTTACCTGCCGTTCTTAAGATGGTTCGAATCCCCTCCTCCACAGATTGGCTCATTGGCTTATTTCAATTAGAATTATGGGGTTTTATTTATTATTCACTTTAATTGGAGTTAAACCATATTAAAAGGGATACATTTTGATTAATAATATTCATCACAAGGAGAGGTTATCTTTGTTCATACTACTGTTTGTCCTTTTGCAGTTTTTTCCTACAGATGTTTTAGATGACATATTCCAAACAGCATGACGGTCTTATTCAAAGAGAACAGAGGTCCAGTACTTCAGGTCAGTATTCACTGTAGTTTCTACTGTTCAAATAAACCAAAATAAAACTGCACAATCTGACCAAACCACCAAACGTGTTCAGTGTGGAAGCAAACTTAGTGAAAAACATCTGGAAATAAATACAGAGGGAAAACTGTGACATCTACTGTGAGAGGTTATTTTTTAAAAAGAATAAACGGAGTAAAAGCTGGTGTTAAGAACAGTAGAGTCAGAAGGTGAGCAGGTGGTTTTTTTTTGGGGGGGGGGGCGTGTGCAAACCTGGGCCCAGCTGCCCTCGTCATCCTCCTGGTGTTAGCATGGTTAGAGTGACAGCATGGTGAGAAGAGAAGACAGGCGGGGGGTTAGTGATGCAGCAGTGCTGGGAGGTTAGAGCAGCTTCATGTGGAAAATATCATTCACAGTAACAGAACAACACACAAATTAATAATTAATAAAGAGGAAATAAAAACATTATCATTGTGGGAGTGTGTATATGGATGAAGTTGTTACTGGTATTTCATTTTAGATTTTGATAAACAGATAAATGTAACTACCCAAAGCACTTTTTCTTTTCATATTCTAAGTGCGAGATCCTCATTGTTTCCTTTTGTGTTTCTTCTTCTTGTTTTTATTGTTTGCACAGATCAGGAGGAACGCTCCGAGGATCGTTGTGTACAAGACTTTCTCTATTCTGTTCTACAAACTGTGAAACTTTGTCAGTTTTTTGACAAATTGAAAAAAAAAAATCAGATTACTGCATCACACTGATTCAAAGAAGCTACCAAGGTATAAACGATTAGACAAATTTAAATTGTTTCACAGTAAATGTCGTCATATTGCTCAAACCTAGTACATGGTAGTGTTAGATCTAAAGAATAAAATAAAATAAGGACATGAAGATGGCAGTGTGATGTTCTGACTGTTTCAAACATCAAACTGTCAACAAAACAAAACGAACCTTTAGAAACAGCTGTTTTAAACCAACTACACAGCTAACACACAAACACACACAAAACTAGCTAATGTAAACGCGCGCACACACACACACACACACACACACACACACACACACACACACACACACGGTTTATAAAGCCTAAAGCAAAAGACCAACTAGGACAGAAAAATCACAATAAGGCTTTTTCCAAGTTTCCTTGTGAGTCAGATTTTGTGTGATGTAATATTTTAGATAAATACTGAAGTGATCAACAACAATAACATGTGTAATGTTATTATATACATTAATATATGTGGTCAATGAGTGAGGTCCGACTGTCCTAAAGGAAACTTGGAACGAGCCTCGACTGTCACCACAGACGCGAGGAGCCACCGCTGTCGAGCCAATCAGGACAGACTAACCGTGGGAGGCGTGGCTGCCAAACTTTCCATTTCTTCGTGAGTGACCCAAACATTTCCTGTGGTCTGATCATGTGACACCCCCCAATCACAGGTGAGAGAAGAGCGCAAGGAGGGAGGAGCGATTGAGGACAGACAAGAGAATGGGATGGAGAGAGAAAATCAAGAAGTGCTCGTTCATTTGTCGTTATCGTTGTTAGCAAAAGAATGAAGCAACAATTTGATCCCCTCATTAGTAAATGTTAAATATAAAATTGGTTAAATGTTAATGCATGCTCAAACAGGTGATATTGAGGAGACAAACAGCTACGTGTGTGTGTTTCGTGAACGTGAAAACAGATAGATACCGTTCTTGAGGTGGGCGGGGCAGAGGGGCTGGTCAGAGACATGATTTCCTGGATGGCCAGGCGGAGCTTCAAACGGTGTAACGGGTTACTGATTCCGATCTCCCGTTGGATCTCCGTGTCCGACAGCGCCGACATGATGGCTCCGCTCTTCACGTTGGCACGGCACGCCGCCACGTACCAGGCTGGCATCCCCACCCACAGCTGCTCAGAGGAGAGACGGTGCAACCAGTGAATAATAGATTAATAATAGATATTTTACTAGTTTCAGATCAGCTGCGTCTGTGTCGTACCTCCAACCAAACCACAACAGTCGGTCCGTCCCACTGGGCGAACGGCAGGCCCTGCCGCCGAGCCTCCTCCAGTAATTCATGCCTGAGACACAAAATTAAAAATTAAAGCCGATACGCACTAAGACTTTGCCCAAAAACCCAAACGGTAGCCACACCCCCAAAACCACAGAGCCCGTCATAAACTCCCAATATGCACTCGACCAAATCCACCTTTTGAACACACACGTACACAAACCGCAAGACGCCGACCGACATGCACAGTCAGAGCAGAGAGCAGGAGTTTGAGAGAAAACAGAGATTGACACCCAGGAAGACTCAGAGACGAACTCATCTGGAAAACCTTCGACAGAAATTTAAAACCTCCTCTGCCTTTTTCAAGCCTGAACTGCCCAGGTTCAACCAGATGGGTCTTTGGTTCAGCCGCCGGGAGATGACTTTGGGTCACAGCCAGGGGCTTCAGGACCGAGGGACTTTATTAGTCAGTTAGGTTTTCTCCCAGAACCAGTGCTTTGAGAGTCCACTTACAAAGTCCACAGTGCGGACGCATTCCTCTACAACTGCAGGTGCTATGACATGCACGGAGGGAAGGACAGAGAAACTCTTGCAGTAGCTTTCTACATGTCGTTCGTTGGTTTCATGCACATTCTCAGTTTGTAATAAAGGAACAGAGACATTAGTCCGGGAGGTTTGTGGGGATGTTTGGAGGTTCATTACCATGGAAACAAATGAATTTAGCTGATGCTGTAAAATGAGGAAAACTACTGTGGTTGGCCACTAGATGGGGCTGTGGGACACCCATCCTGTGTTTGGCAGATCTGCCTTTATAAAAGATTAACAGATGGTCAAAACAATGTTGTTGCTGCTTCAATTAGCAACAACACACTGATTCTGCTGAAGTGTGTTGTCTGACGTTTTCAAACTTACAGACAAAAACAAAACTAATAGGTTGAATTCTTCCATTAAGTATCTTTCCTGTAGTTGTAGTGCAGAACTTCATGCTCCGGGAAGGAAAATTTGCCACTCACTAAAAATCAGCACACACACATTCCTGTTAGTTAAGCTCCTCTGTGGAAAGCAGGGCAAAGAGCAGCGTGGAAAAGCCATCAGACACTCAGAGGGACATTTGTTCGGGGTCCTCAGTTATTGGTGAGGTCAATGTGAAGCCGAGTGAAGGAAGAAAGATAAAAGGCAAAGCAAAAGCAATATGAACCAACTTACCCTGTCTTTGGACTACACATGGAATGAGAAGGGGATGGTAAAAAAAAAAAAAAGAAAAAAAAAAAAGAGGGAGGTTGGCAAAACAATAAAGAGAAAGAATGAATTGATGCTAATTTAAGAGCTACATGGAAGCAAAACAACATTTATGGTGTTGGCAAAACGTTTCACAAAAGTAAGAGCGAAGGAAAAAACATAAAAATCTTTGTAGGGGGGAGGGGTGGGGGTGGGGGTGGGGGGGCAGTGGAAATGACTGGGTGTGGAGTGGAAGGAGGATGAGCTGATAGGAGTGAGCGTGAGCCAGGTGGCAGGGAGGCAGCGTGTGAGCCAGGCCTGAGCCCACAACAACACTCAGACATTTACATTATCAACACTGTACTCCAGTAAAGACATGCTGTACAACAGGGTGTCATCACATCCTGTTTAAACATCATTCTCCGTTTATATTAAAGGGGTGGTTGGGGTTATTAGACGTGGCGTCGTGTGAGGTCGTCATGTCCAGTCAGTGTGTGACCTGCAGTAGATTCAGTCTCCAGGAGCAGCAGGAGGACCGGTGCACCAGCTGTTTTAGAAACTTTTGAAAACGCCACTGAAACAATCCAATATCTGTTTAAATGAAGCTTCATGTAGAAGATTTTTATCTTCCCGTCTGTTTTAACTATTAATCATATTTGTCAATATTGTCAGCACAGTTCCTTAAGAATAAGAGCCCATAGGGTAAAAAGGGAGGTGTTGGGTGGGGCGATGGGAGGGCAAGAGGCTGGATATAATAGGAGCATTTTCAAAAAGTTTAGCTCTTTCTGATTCACTCAGCTGACCCGCGGCTGCGGCGTAATACAGCGCACACTATGGGTGCACTTGTGCGTAGGAATACTGTAGTTCAGCGGTTGATGAAAATGTAGTGCCAAAATGTATTTAAATGTAATTAAATAGATGACACCGTGTACATACATTATGCCGCAGCCTCAGTTCAGCTGAGTTAATCAGTAAGTAGGAATATGGTAGTTCAGCAGTGGAAAAATGGAATAGTTCCAAAGGAAAGAGATATTTTCACGGGAAGAGAAAGAGCTGAAAATATTCTACATGAATCATACATTTAAACAGATGTTGGATTGTTTCACTGGGTGTTTTTAAAAGTGTCTAAAACATGTTTCTCCTGTTGGCCCCGCCCACAGCAGCTCATCACTCTGGTCCTCCTGCTGCTCCTCTACACTGAATCTACCGCATGTAACACACTGACTATGCATGACTACCTCACACGACGCCACGTCTAATAACCACAGCTATCCCTCTAACTGTGGAAACAGCTGAGTGTCGGGGATCTGTCGGGAAGACACTTACTTCTTCTGCAGCTTCCGGCTCTTCTCTGCGGGGCCCCCCAGGGTGCCCATTCCTAAGCCTTCCTTAGGAGAGCTCTCTGCCTCAGGAGTTCCAGCTGGGAACATAAACAAACACCTCGTTCAGCTCTGATACGGCCGGGAACAGCGATACTGGAGGCATGACGCACACATAAACATGCCTAGTGTCTGACCTTGGCTGGGGGAGTCCTTGCCGGGAATGCTGGGTCGGCCCTTCTCCTTCTTTCCAAAGAGGCGTCCAATGGAAGACTTGATACTCTTCTTCTTGGCAGCTTTGTTGAGCGAGTCCTGGCTGCTGTTACTGCTGCTGGGGTTACTACCCTGGCCGTCCTGCAGGCCGACCAGACTGTGGGAGCAAAGGGCGAGCGATTAGATGGAGAGAGAAGAGAGACAGAAGACAAACCAGGGAGTGAGACGGGCGCAGGTCTCACCCTCGAATGTCTCTGATGTCCTCGTGGCTGGCGGCGTGTCCTGCGTCTCTGTTCAGACGCATGGAGCGTGGAGTGGTGGGGGGTGACGTCTCACATCGGATGGTGGCCTTGTCATCCTGAGCAGACTGTGTAACAGCGGGAGAAACACGTTAGTGAGGTGGATCATTTTACTCTGTACAGACCACGACACACTTTATTCTGCACACACATAATAAATTAAATAGAAGCTGTTTCACTGACGTTACACTAGATATGCTTTATGCTCCGAGCAGCTTCTATATCAATACTACAGCTCAGAGTAAATACCAGGTGCAGCTGAATTATTTACTTCCAAAAAGGAAAATAAGATGCAGAGACACCTAGAAGAATTAACGCTGCTGACGTTGCAGCAGAGAACGAATGTGATCAACGCTGCGGCAAAAACAAAAAAAAGTTTTTATGACTCTATTGTGGAAGCAAAACCGTAAATGCAAAGAATCAAGACTTCTGAGCAGGTAACATCAGAAATCTGTTGAGCCTAGTACTTAGCGTTATGTCCGGCTAATCTTTAGCTTTTGCTACAGAGTTAATTTTCTCATCCTGTCGGTCGAAGCTGCAGCAGATGAAAAGGATTCATGGATAAAATCCTGAAAGTAAATTAAAGTACCAAAACACCAACTTGATGCCAAAGCACCGAGGCAAACTCGTTCATGTCTCACCAGTGACCATCACAGGCTCTAATGATTCTATCACAACATCTTTGTGTGTTTCAAGAGGATCTTTGACAGTTTATGCAGCAGTGTAATGTTTACTGGGTGGTGAACTGTGGGACGGCATAGAGAAACTAAAGCTGAACATTGTGGATTACAGTCGGGGGGGGGGGGGGGGGGGTGACAGGCAGCTGACAGAGGCCAGTACAGCAGGTCTCTAGTTTACCTTCCTGCGGTGCTTGCGCAGGTCACTAGGCTGAAGCATGGCAAAAAAGGAGAGAGGAGAAAAGCAGTTAGTGAAGACACACAACAGACCAGCAGTGAAACCAAGCCATGCACACACACACACAGAACAGCAGGAGATCACAGCAAAGATATACATTTACCCATTTACCCTGAAACTGACACACACACACACACACAGAAGAACTGTCAGTTTTAATTGTGCAGTGAAGACGTGCAATTCCTGAGAAAAGAAAGTCTGCAGCAGCACGACCTGAGCAGGAGACACTGCAAAACAACCACGCTGGAAGTTGGGTCAGGACGAGGTGGGATGGGTGCAGCCTAGTTCAAGGACATTCAGGAAATCAGAGGGACAGACTTTTACACTAGCTCTAATATCTCAGCAGAAAAAGTCTCCATGACGTTTATTTGACTAATCGAGCGGGGAGGCAGCGGAGCAGCTCGACGGTCACTTCTGATTAACATCACAGCGCACAGTGCTATGAGCTCGCTAGCTTCAAAGTTATGCGGCTGCTTTTGCTTTATGTGATATTAAACGCTTGGCAGTGCGACACCTGACTTCATAAAGCGGAGCTGCTCTCGTCATTTTTTCCACTGCGCACCTTAAAAGCGAGAGGAATTTTTTTTCCGCGCTGCATTCCTCACAGGCCTGGCATTAGCAGAGCAAATAAACCATCAGCGTGCCACATTTCTGTGGGAGTTTCTCCTGCCCCCGGGGGGGAAAATACCTAATCACTCATTTCCTTTCCTCAACTGACACGGTGAGGCCACGGCGAGGAAGAGATTACTGAGCTATAAAAGGGAAACAGGAAGAGGAAATTGAGTGGGCGAGCAAAAAATTAATTTAATCACCCAAAATGTTCTTTTTCTTTCCAGAGATTCTTATTCAGGAATCAAAACATTCTGACGTCTGGTTTCACTGATGCTTTAAAATACAGACGTGACAGTTACTGAGCAGAGATTCAAACCAGAAACACAACGGACAGTTGTTTTTCTGACCAGCACTCCTTTCACATCTGTGCCCCGCTTCAATAAACTTCAATAAACTTCATGACCTTTTCACTACAATAACTGCTCTGCAGTCAAGCCAGTGCATGACAGCTTTATTTTTTCACCAACAAACATGACACATTAATGGAAGGGGGGGGGGGGCAGTGATTGACGACCTTTTTTTTCCCCCCTGGAAATCTTGAAAGGGCTGAACAGATGCAGATTCTGCTTCAACTTGAATCAATTCCTGCAAATCGCAAGATCAAGATTCCTTGAAGGACTGACAGATGAGTAATGCCAGCTCCAGTGTTAACAGGAAAAACAGTGGCCCAGGGAATCCAAATTTCCACCCCAGCTCACCGTTTTTTTAAACTTGATTGTGTGTGTTTCTGCACACAGGGGAGGGGTTGAGAAGAATGTAAACGTCTGAGCTGGGCCTCACAGAAACACTGAAGGCAGGCTCCAGTATCTTTGTTCTTTATCGGATTTGTTAATGCTGTGTTGAGTAAATCGAGACGAGGTGACTGCACAACAGGCGACGACAGCAGACGACATTACCTGCGGCCCAAAACAAACCACAGCAGCTCCGAGCAGCCGCAGGTACACAGGTGAGCAGGAGGAGCTCACAGGTGCAGAGAGGGGGCGTGATCTTTCGAGCTCCTAAACCAAAACAACACTGTTTCTGTTCTGCTAGCATTAACCATAAAAGGGAATCCTGGTTCCCAGCTGAAAGGTGCGTCGCTTTCAACTCACTGTTCAAACATTTACATGTAAACCAGGATGATCTTCGCTCTTTTCACAACGTTGTTTATTCCTTTCTTCTTGTTAATCATCTTTTCCTTTTCCATTAATGATCAATAACGTTTGAACCACCTTCTGTAAATTCTGTTCATAAAATAATATAATCTCTCTTAGCTACATGTTTGTTCTTCCTGCATGAGAATATGTCGTCACTGTGATGCTGTAGTCAAGATGTCAGAAGGAAGGGAGCAGAGAGGAAGTGGCAGACTGCACCCACCCGAGGAGGGGAGGAGGGGAAGCTGTGGAGAGAGGTACCTGGAAGTAGGGTGCATAGCTAAAGGCTTGAGGGGGGGGGCTGAAGCCAGTTGCACCATAGGGCAGGTACGTTAGGGTCTGCTGGGAGAGGGAGCTCTGGATGATGTAGGGGTCATAGCAATACTGCTACAGGCAGGGGGCAGTTACATATGCACATGGTTACACACTGTCATACATACACAGGGAATATTAGTACATGAATCACAGTGAAGAGATTTATAACACAAAGAGGCCAAAGTGTTAAAGAATAAATAGACAAACAAAAAGACGACAAACCACAATGAAAACAATTATAAAGAAAGAATAATTCTGACTTATTCAGATTTATATAACATCAGAGACCAACACTAAGTGATGGCTGTTTCAAACAGTGAGTTAAATGTGCTCTGGGAAACATGTGAGAGGAAAGGACGTGTTACCAAGGTCATGACACCCATGCGGTCCAGTTCTCTGTTGGGGCTGCGGGGGATGCGTCTGGGGGTGGAGTGACCAGAGCCTGGGGGGGAGCCGCCCAACGAGGAGCCCGCACACAGTGACGGAGGGATGGAGCTCATGGAGCGGAAACGTCCTCCCAGGCTGTCGCCGCTGCCCACCCTGCACTCAATCTCCTCTGCCCGGATCGCCGTGCTCTCCTTCTCCTCCTGGATCATCCTGCAGGAGAGGAAGTGAAAATGAAAATGCGAGATGTAAGGTTAAATGAAGCAGGGTTTTGTTGGGCTCGCTCTGGCGGCTGCGCAGCTGCCGGTACCTGATTTCATTGTTGATAGCGTCCAGCTGCTCCTGTAGCATTAAGGCGAGGGTCTGTGCGTCTGCCTGGCCACCCGGGGACAGCAGGTCCACCGAGCTGAAGATCGTCTCTCGGTCCTCCTCGAGGTCCGAGGCGTCCATGTCGCTCTCAAAGGCCTGGGCCACGTTCGCCAGCACATTGGCCTGCTGCATGCGCTCCCACTCCTGCTCATTAAGAGTCTGCACCTGGATGAACGCACACAGGTGTGAAACAGGGAGGGGGAGAGAGAGAGAACGGAGGAGGAGATGTACGAGTCAGAAAAAGCAGAAAAGGGATAAAAAGGCCGGAGAAGTGACAAGAGATAAAACAGTTAGCTGGATGTTTAATGCACCACTCGGACACAAATAACCGTCACTGCTGTCTCCACCACACTGACTTACATGTCGCTGATGTCCAGAGTGGAAGCAAAGAGACAAACGGAGAAGAAGAAAATCAGAGAGAAGTCAAACATTAGACTGAAACAGGTGGAGGAAGGACGAAGGTAAAGAAAAGGCAGCACGTGTTACGAGGAAGACAACACAAAAATATAATAAAAACCTCCATCCAGCGAATCTGAGATAAGTTTCTACATGTTTAATCTCTTCAAGCCTGGACAAACATTATTTCACTTACTTTAAGGTCTCACTTTTTAATTTCATTGAATGATGCCAGGCAACTGTTAAAATGTCAGGATAAATCACGAGGAGCTGAATCTGCACTGACTGATCTGACTGGTGCATTCTTTAAAAATTAAATGATCAACTATAAAGCCTCAAATCTTATAGTTTTATAATATAATAATTAATAATACAACTCACCTTGGATGGCTCGTCCCGGAGCGCGGCCACTCGTCCCTTTTGAGGTCTCCTCAGCACCAGAGCGCTGCCGTAATGGTCTGAGTTACTGTCCATCATTGAGGAGGCCGACACTGGATACCTGAAATCTGGAGTGCTGCCCAGCTGAGACCGTCTGTGAAAACATGAGACATGACATCATAGAGGTACGTGTTTTCATACCTTTGTGTTTTTCCTAATTAAGTTTTTAAAAGTTTCACCGAGTGCTGCACAGATTCAGAATCAGCACAACCTCAGCTAATTATACATGTCACTCAATAAAGACTTCAGTACAGTATAATACAGGTTAATAGCCCATAAAACTTCCATATTTGATAGATAAAAACTGTGAAAACCATAATAAAGAAACACAGGAAGTTGGACATGTCTGTTTGGATTGTTCTAGAGGTGATTCGAAGTTTCTATCTTTATACGCTCTTGATTTATTCTCCTTCTCTGGAGCAGCTACAACTTCTCCTCACTCTGAGCTCAGAACAAAACAGCCGATAGGAATGTAGAATTGAGTGATGTGAGTGTCAACGTCACTGGCCAAGAATGTGGATGAGAATCGATCAGTAAACACAGAGAGAGAGAGAGAGAGAGAGAGAGAGAGAGAGAGAGAGAGAGAGAGAGAGAGAGAGAGAGAGAGAGAGAGAGAGAGAGAGAGAGAGAGAGAGAGAGAGAGAGAGAGAGAGAGAGAGAGAGAGAGAGAGAGAGAGAGAGAGAGAGAGAGAGAGAGAGAGAGAGAGAGAGAGAGAGAGAGAGAGAGAGAGAGAGAGAGAGAGAGAGAGAGAGAGAGAGAGAGAGAGAGAGAGAGAGAGAGAGAGAGAGAGAGAGAGAGAGAGAGAGAGAGAGAGAGAGAGAGAGAGAGAGAGAGAGAGAGAGAGAGAGAGAGAGAGAGAGAGAGAGAGAGAGAGAGAGAGAGAGAGAGAGAGAGAGAGAGAGAGAGAGAGAGAGAGAGAGAGAGAGAGAGAGAGAGAGAGAGAGAGAGAGAGAGAGAGAGAGAGAGAGAGAGAGAGAGAGAGAGAGAGAGAGAGAGAGAGAGAGAGAGAGAGAGAGAGAGAGAGAGAGAGGGAGAGAGAGAGAGAGGGAGAGAGGGAGAGCAGCAATGCCCCAGACAAACGGTGAAACTAATCCAAATATTCCATAACTTTTAATGTCAGTGTCTCGATGGAGGTCAGACAAAGTTAGAAAGCGCCATGTAGTTTAAGGAGAAACGTCTCTGGCTCAAACGGTCGCGCAGGAATGAGGCTCTAAAGACAACGTGATATTTGGAGGCGTATTCTCCCACGGGCCGGACTGCTTACCCATGTAGTAAAGAGTTGCTCCTGCTCCGACCCTGCTCATTCTCCGCCCTCATGGTCTCAATCTGGATCAGAAGCTGCTCCTGTAGCGGAGGAAATTTACACATCTTAGTCATCTGGTGAAGAAACACCCCTAAAGGTAAAAAAGCCACAATTGCTAATATTTCAAATAAAAGAGAAAAACAAGCCAAAGTAGCAGCAGAAACACTTGATACTTCAACGGATCCCTCACCTTCTCATGGTGAGACTCCTCGATCAGCTTCTTGGTGTGGTCCAGTTCTCTAATCAGGGCGTTCTGAGGAGAGACAGACACAAGCTGACACACTGGGAAACAAACATTACCTGAGCTTCTAACCCTCCACCATGACAGACGATGTCAGAGACACCCGCAGCGGACAACAGCAAATACTTATAAGGTTAAGAGCACAGTGTCCTCGTCACGCCGACTTTAGAACGAGTTCCTAGATTCCACCTGTAAACCGTCGCTGCACCGGTGAATCACCTTGTCCTCCAGCGCAGACATCCTCTCTTTGAGGTGGAGCTGGAGTCTCTCGTTGGACTCTGACAGGAGCTTGTCCACCGTCTCAGACAGACGCTTGTTGTGCTCCTCGTTCATCTTCTCCCGCTGTCGTGCCTACGTGAGCAGAACAAGAGCATTAGTTTAACAACGCATCTCTTTTGTCGCGTTTACTCCTGCCGTCCTGAGTCCAGAGTTTACAAACACCTAACAAATTATTTTGGAAACTCTGCTGCACCCGATTTATTTTGAAAACTCTGGGGTTGTGTTTTATTTTGAAAACTCTGGGGTTGTGTTTTATTTTGAAAACTCTGGGATTGTGCTTTAGGGTGTTTTCACACCTACAGTTTGTTTGCTCTGCTCCGATTCAGTTGATGAGTTTGTAAACTTGTAGGTTCCGTTTGTTTTCACACAGAGAAAAATTAAAGTGAATCAAAATACATCATCACAAACCAGGTGAGAACGTTCCCTCCTCTGATTGGTCAGATTGTCTGGAGCAGGAAAGTGAATGCTGATAGAAAGTTAAAGGAACTGTTGAGCACAAACTTGTGAGTTCACGAGTTGATAATATGGACGGAGAACGTTTTAGTTTTAAAATGAAAACATAGTCGTGTGGACGTCGCCGAAGACTATTAGTAGCAGTAAAACTGAGCACTCGGTCCACTGTAACAGCAGCAGATTCCTGCTCTTCCCTCTTTCTCACCCTGAGCAGTTCCTGGTTCTTCTCCTCCAGCTGAGTCTCCAGCTGCCTCAGCCTCTCCTCCACATTACCGTGACGCTCCTCTGCCTGAAAATAAGGAACAATGACACAAAAACCTTTATCTTTTCTTTTATTTATCTTGTATGTGAGCTAATGAGAGTGTCTCTAAAGCTAGGCTAGCTTTGATCTCCCCTCCACAATGTCTGGTCAACCATCCTGGAGAAGGACCTGGCTCAGGAAAGGTCTGGGTAAACCAGGTCCTGCAAATCAAGCTGGAGTAAACCCCACCAACAGCCCGGTACATATGGTATCTATAGAATATGGATGTAAAATCATCTGTTTCAGGAGAGGAGAGCAAAGTAGCACAACCCAACAAAACAAAAACAAAAAAGCAGCCGGTACGTCCCACAATGCACCTCTACCACAGAACAGGGAAATTCATCCAGATTCTACATTCGACTACAGACGTGTTTATGTGGATTACTGACTCAAAAAACATTTAATCCCATATTTCATCTGCAATTAGATATGTTGAGAAACATAATGTGTGCGCAGCAGATACTATCAGTCTATTGGCTCGTTTTCATGTCAGAACCAATGGAGTGGTAAACATCTGTCTGCGACACTTCCTGTTCCAGTTTTCTAGTAGCTCTAACGGGCTTTGAGCAAATCAGCTGGTGCTTCCTGTTTGTGTTAGATACCAAACATTTTTTCTTTTTATCATGTGTTTGAGAAAAAGAAGGAGAGGCAGCGGCATGAAGTACTGATCAACACAGCTCACCAGAACCTACAGCAGAACACACAAGCAGACTGAGGAGGCCGGGACAGGACCAGGTATCAGGCTTCATAACATACTACCACTTTAACATCTAGTCTGGCACTGCGCTTAACCAGGCACTTCACACGTAAGGGATAAAATACCACTGAAATCAGAGGCGGACAAAGTACACAGCTCCATTACTGGAGTCACAGTATAGATCCTCCCGGTCAAATATTACTCCAGTACAAGTTGTTCAGTCAGTGTTTTACTTTAGAATAAGTACTGGAGAAAAACACTGAAGTATTCAACATTCTTGTTGTTGTATTGTTCCACATTTACAGAACCTAATGACTCTTGACCAACCTAATGGGATCTGACCAACCAAAGCATAAAAACAACAACTACTTTAAACTTAAAAGTTTATCTGGAATTAAATAAACGTTAACATATCTCAACGTGCTTTCTCAAGTTGGGTGGCAAATTTTTTTAGTCAGTGATGAAGTCTGGTCGTGGTAAACGCAGCAAATATTTCAAACTAAATGAATCTTCCTTTATTTCTAAACCTTCAAACACAGACTTCAGATCAGACTCTGGTGAAGAATCTTCTGCCTCATCTCCATCGTTCAGACACTGACAGGTTCAAACATGGCTGACAGTGGAGGAGGCGGCTGTGATTGGTTTTTCTCACATCACATTTTCAAAATAAAATAATAATTCATTCCGTTGACTAAAAAGCTCTGCTTCAAAGTAAAAGTACTTTGTTACTGTCCACCCCTGATTGAAATTCAGTGGAAATAATTGGATTTCTTTGCTATTTTAAAGAAAGCAGATCAGATTTTTATTTCTTCAGTAGTTCTGGAAATGTAAACAGCGCCACTAGTTCCTGTTGCTCTGGTTAAGTTCAGAAACAGAGCTGGAGTTTCCCAGTTTCTGAGCGGACAGGTCTATCTCTGTGAATAAAACTGGTCTACCTTCTTCTGAGTCTTAGAGCCTTTAGAGCCACACAGAACACACTAGGGGGTTTGACAGGGAGGTGGAAGGAGCAGCATGGAGACCACAGAGAGACAGACAGACAGACAGACAGACAGACATGCAGATAGACAGACAGACAGAGGAGAGAATACAGTGTTGGTTTAACATGAACACGATTAAACACAGTGGCTAGAGGGAGAAAACAGACACACATTCAAAAATGGAACATGAGTTTAATGATGGTTGTCGGAGCAGGAGGACAGACAGACATCATGCTGTGTGAGAGGAGGAACAATATGCTCAAGTAGAAGAGGGTGGAAACAAGACCGGATCAGTTATGTGGATGCCTTGGAAACTGCATGGAGGTGATATTAAACACACCAAGGCATCTCTAAGTCTGTCTCTCTGCCATGTTTTATATCACAACTGTGTGGGTTAAGGGTCAGGATCATTAAAAGTGCATGGAGGAAACAGCTCAGATGGGATGTGAGACTGAAAAAGAGGGGGCAAAAAGACACGGTCTGAAATGTAATCACTTCTAAAACAGGTGTTAAGATATTTTACTAAAGAAAATGTAAACTTTATGTACAGTTTGGATATTTTCTAAATGCTACAATATCTAAATCAGCATGTGACATCGCAACACAAAAGACTCAGATGAGAATAAGTTAAACGAGTTAAACAGTGGACGTCCATCATGACACAGCCGGTTAGTTTCATTTGAGTTAATTAACTTAACTAGCTAGTTATAATGTCGATTTTATCCATCCAATGTCATTACGTCTCAATAAAAAGTTGAGGTTAGCAACAACACAAACCAAGTGTAATAATAGTGTCATAATTTGATATTATTGTATAAATAAAAACTGTTTGAAACACATTCCTGTTAAACTTTTAAAGCTGTTATCGAATTTTTATCAAATTTTTGCCTAAATTTCTTTAACAAGCTCAGTTTTTCTTAAACTCTGCCTTCAATTAGTTCAAGGAATCACTGTTACGTCCAGAATATTGATTAGATTTTGTTATTTTTTCCTAGACAAAGGAAAACCTCAAAAAGTGAAAGTTGAGCTGCTAATAAAGGCGCCGAGATGTAAGTTCAGCAGCAGCATCGTCCAAGACAAAGGCTCAAACTATAAATGGATAAAAACACAGGCTGAATCTCTAAAAATAGTTCCCTGTGGATATTTGGAGCAACATAAACAATGGCTTCCCCAGTGGCTTCCTCTGGGAGCTCCTCGCTGTTTCACTGTAAAGGAACTGATCTAATAGCCCTGATTGTATAATGTGTAGAACGTAGTTGGAAGTAATGGGAGTTTTAGTCAGTTCATATTCACATATCAAGGTTCAGGATTTTAAAAAACCTCTGATGACTCAACATTTTAATGTTGACTTTTCAAGTCTATTATAAAATCCTAAATCCACCAGGTTGAATGTCTGAATGGAAAAGTGAACAGGTGCTGATACCTTGGTGAGGGCAGCCACCCTCTGAGCTAGCTCAGCCTCCACCTCAGGCAGAGTCTCTGCCTTGCGGATGGTCTGCTGCAGCTTCTGCTCAGCCAGCTCCAGCTTCTCCTGGAGCTGCCGGTTTCTGTCCTCGGTCTGCAACAAACCAACCAAAAGCAAACAGTCATTAGCCAACATGTCAGAGACTCGTCTGTGCATCGTCCTCGCCTCTGGGTTTTTTGCTTTCAGTTCCACAAGGTGCAGAGAGTGGCGGGAGAGAAAGAGGGAGACAAAGTGAGACAGGCGGTGGGGACGGGTCAGGGCGGGGAGGGAAGGAAGTGAGGAAGAGAGCATTCATGACGACACAAAGACAGACAAAAAGAGAAGAGAGACATCTCCATCTCAGCGAGTACATGTAAAGAGACAAGCCAGTGTCTGCGAGGCTTCCCATTCAGAGCCCGCTGCGCTGCTCAGTGTGTGAATACAGAGGGAATTCATTAGCAGGAGTCTGAAAACTGCCAAAGAGAAACTGCAGGCGATTCCTGCTGGCAGACAACGAGGAGACGGAAACACCAATCACACTCATAGGGATTTCTTATTTTTTTATGGGGCCTACTTGTCTGAAGAGGGAGTCCTTGTTGGCCACTTCGTTCTCCAGCTTGTCGTTAAGGTCATGGACGGAGGTGGCCTCCCGCTGAGCTGCCAGGTAGCGCTTTTCCAGGGTGGTGATCCTCTCCTCCATATCTTCCTTCTGAGCCACCGACTACACACACACACACACACACACACACACACACACACACACACACACACACACACACACACACACACACACACACACACACACACACACACACACACACGCATTAGTGTGCTCTCTCCTTGTGGTCTGACTACTGATCACCTGTGGTTAACACTCGGGTGTCTGCGGCTGAGAGTAGTGTGGCCAAAACAAAACAACATGTCGTCCGTGTGGAGCTTTTACAAAGTGTGTGAGACTGATAGAACGTACGGCGTCTGCAATGCATGTCAAAAACGATCGGTATCGGCCGATCGCACTCATAGATGATCAGTAACGGCAGCAGAAAACGTGATCGTGGCATCCTCACTCTAACGGACTGTCCACTGAACTTTGCATCTTCATATGGAAGAGAAGGACTCATAATAATATCTGAAGCTGCAAAAGTAAACATCTGTTTTATATGAAGGAATTGTTTAAACAAATTCATCTAAAAATGCTCCTAAAGCTTTTACTTTGTGTTACAAACAGTTCCCGCCCTCCCCACCTCTCTCAGGTCTCTCTGTAGCCGCGTGTTCATGTCTTCAGACTTGATGAGGTCCTTTCTGGCCGTGTCGAGGTCCTCCTCCAGCTCATTGATGCGTGACGCCATGGCGGCCATGCGCTCCTTCATCTGGCCCAGATCGGCCATCTGACGGTCCACCACTTCCTGGAGCTCGCCGACCTTCCCGAACCCAGGTCCCGACTCCTCCTCCTGACTCAGTGAACCGTCCGAGGAGCGCTGTGGGTGAACGAACCGTTTTAGATTCACAGAACTCATTTCAGTTAAACAACAGCACAAACCGCCATTAAACAAAGAGAGAGTCACATTCACGCTACACCTGCTGCTCCTCAACCACTCAGACCTGATGTCACAGTTTTATTATTAGTATTATTTATTTTAGTATTAGTTTTATTATTATTTTATTAGTTTGATTATTATTTCATTAGTTATACTATTATTTTACAGGGCTCCAGACTAACTTTTTCACTGGTTGCACCTTTTCTTTTGGCAGAACATGGTATCAAAATGGCCAATTAGGATATTCAACATTCTTCCATTATCAATGACACTGGCAGAGACGACATCAGTGTCACCATCAATCATAAATTGATTGTTTCTTCATGAAGGAGGCTCTGAGGCTTCTTCTTCCTCTTCTTTGATTATGTTAATCAAAAATGTAAAATTAGTTCTCTACGTTTCAGTAATGACGTACAATAACATCCTTGATTTTTCTAAAGACAAACTAACCTAAAAACTTTTTATTTAATAATCACAAAGTTGCAGAGCAACAGACACAGGGCGTCACGGTAACCATAGTAACTCACTCACACGCCTGTCTGCGTGCGCAGAGGAGCATCATGGGAATAAATGACAATAACTCATTTATAGATATTTCTCACTTTGACCTGATGAACTCTGTTTCTGTCAGTGTTTTATCACGCAGCAAAATGATTTTACTGAGGGTCAAATCGCTCCGTTAGAGACTGTATGCAAATCTTTTCTCCCTTATTTTTCAGCATGTGCACATTTATTTTTCAAATTTCACCTAATGTAAATATTAAATTATTACTGTATTAATTTATTTGTTTTTTTATTTCTTTATTTTATTTCTCTTTCACTTGTTCACCTTGGATAAAGTTCAAATCTCAAGGACAATCCTTATACATTCATGTCATGTTTTTATCAATGTGAATGTATATTAATTTAATTTAACAATCCTATTGTGAAAACGAGCACTGATACAACAATTCACTGTATGTGTGATTTTCTCTGGCTCAATAAAACATATCTGAAATGAAATGAGACGTGTACGCTACATGCTTTTAGGTTTACTAGGAGATTTAAAAAATACTACTGTGATATGACGTTGTGATATTAAAGGAGACGGAGCTCAGCTCAGAGTTGAATCTGAGCCGTGACCTCTCATTGGCTTCCCTCTCCACCTGCCTCCTCCTCCTCCTCCTCCTCCTCCTCCTACTCATTTAGATTTTTAAAATAATCGCCTACAGACCGTTTGATCTTGGAACACGGTAATAGGAAGTCACACCGACTGAGGCAGAGAAGGAAAAAAAATAAATAAAAATACAGGCATCAAAATGAATAATGATCAAGCACTCGCATTTATACGACCATGTGCAATTTTAATTCGCACACTCTCAGAAAATGGGGGCATGTGTGACCGTCTCGTGGCAGTCTGGAGCCCTGTTTTTACTGCAGAACAAGCTGTCAGCAGGAACCTGGACTGTTTCCACCAGCCCACCTTTGCATCTTGTCTGTGCATGTGTGTAGATCACATTGCACAGTTAATCAGTGCATGCCAGGGCAGAAATGTGCTAATGCATGTATTATCAACCTGTAGAACTAAGGCTCATTATCATTTGTTTAAAGTTCTTGTTGTTTTGTTTCCATCAGATTTAAGGTCTTTAAAAATATCTATTACAGTAAATTATAGCATATATATCCTGAATTAATGTAATTAGTTATGACTTAATTTAATTAACCGAACAGATGGTAGACACTTGTGATACATGTGGCCTCCACTTGGCTTCCACACACACATGCTGTTGAGTAACCTCACCTTGCCATTAGTGCTCGGTGTGTTTTCAGAGTTGTGGTTGACTTCGCTGGTTCCATCTGCCAGCCCTCTCTTCAGGCTGCTCTGCTCCCTGAGGTATGCCAACTAGAGAGAACACCGCTCCGTTAACACTCTGTCGATCGACTCGTTCATTTACTGGTGATAACCATCTAAACAATTCTGGTTAACCGCCAAACCAAAGGGCGGTAAACTGGTCTGCTGCTACTTTTTAATCATTTGTGATGACTTCTGTGTGTATATGTGTGTATGTGTATGTGTGTGTGTGAGTGTGTGTGTGTGTGTGAGTTCAAACCACGACTGTTCTGGTTGCAAACTCTCATGAATACACTACATAGACCAACACTATGTCCCCGCGCCAAATGGCCAAACCAAAGAAAAACAAAACAGCAAAAAGCTGCCTCGCCTAAGGAGGGAAGGTTACTAATAAAAGCAGAGTGGCAAGTGGTTGATTTTATGTGTGCTGGTGTGTGTGTGTGTGTGTGTGTGCTGGTGTGTGTGTGGGTGGGTGTGTGTGTGTGTGTGTGTGTGTGTGTGTGTGGTCCCAGGCTGATTCCCAGGAACAAAAGATGACTGTAGCATGAAGCAGAGAGGAAATCTAGGACACTTCCACAAGATCCCCTGGGCCTTTTGTCAATCTTAATCCCATTCAATACACAGTGGACTCGAGACTCTTCCTCCCTTTGCATGCATGTGCACGCGTGTGGACTTGAGAGCCGTGAATCTCCCTTTCTTCCACTGTGTGTTAATATTCAGCAGAGGAGAAGAGAGGCGTCTTTCAGCAGCTCACATGCACTAAACGGCCGCAATGATTTCTAATAAAATAACTTTAGGTGCTTTCACAACACATCACGTCTGTTTTCAACTGGACGTTCCTTAAAAGGTCTCACAATCTGACAACAGCTGACTTTCACTTTGATCTGACTGTAAAAGCTGCATCTCAAACCATCGCATCGTTCAGTTTTGATTCATACATCGTGTGTGTCATCAGTTACTGTGATTAAATGTACCAAATGTGTTGAAAAAACGAACTAAAACATCTTCACGTTTCATTTCTGTGAAGCTCAACGATACAAAGGATTTTTTGAGCTGTTGACCTGCGGGTTTAAAAATGAAAACATCTTTGAATGAAGCCTATTTGAATGAAGGGAATTAAATGATAAAGGCACCTAGGTACATGAAACCCAATGACGCACAAACACCACTCGAGTAACAATACTTCAACAAATTACCACAGACAGCAGTGACATGCAATGGTGGGAACCAGCTGTTTACTGTATGTGTTTTTTCTGTGGTTGAATTGGTAAATGTTGATCTGAGGAGAAAACATTTTAAACATTGTAGGTGATTTAAAGTCAGAAAATATTCCTTCATCTACGTCGACTACGTTTTCATTCGAAACGATCTCCCTCCCTCACACCTGAAAACACACACATACATGACCATCCTTACACTGAGCATGCGCGAGCCGGTGTAAGCAGGAAGTACATTGTCTTCTCTGCAGTTGGTTAGCTGCAACACCACACAACACAACACAACCCCAGAGTTTTCAAAATAAAACAAGTCCAGCAGAGTTTCTGGAAGTCTCTGTTTTCGAGGCTCGAAAACTCTGGAGTTGTGTGGACGGGAGGCGAAACGTAGCAAAAAGAGATGCGTTTTAAAACGAAAACGTAGTCGTGTAGACGTATAAAAAGTTGTTTGTTTATACTTATTTTGACAACTTGGAAATGTCGTCTTGGTGATGAGTTGGAGGTTGGAGTTGATTAGAAGTTATGTTTACTTACTTCTTTGTGCGAGATGGTGAGCTGCTCCTCCAACGCGCTGCATCTTTCCAAGGCAACACGTAGTCTTTCTCTCACCTAGAAACCACGTGGAACAAATAAAAATAAACCCACACAACAACACAAACCTCTCAGCAAATATATTTTAACACATATGATTCTATGCCTCAGATCAGTCACACAGTCGTACCTTCTCGTCGAGGGCTTTGTGGTGTTCGAAAAGTGACTTTAGGGCTTTGAGGACCTCCACTTCACTTGAGACGCCTGCTGGAGACTGAGCCTGCCTCTTCACCACCGTCATCCTCAGGCTGCGCTCGTGGCGAGACACTAAGCACTCCAAGTGCTCCAACAGGAGCTGCACACACAACACACAGTGTTACTGGTGTTTAGAAACTCATCGGCTCATTTCTCCTCTTGTTCCAAAGTAAACAAATGTGCACTATCTGTTATCTAACTTTACAGTTGATACCTGCTTGTCAGTTAGATAACAGACAGACAGTCAGATCTATCCTACCACAATACAGGCAACAGGTGAAGATGAAATTGGGACACGTTTGAGATAATATGTGATAATAAGATAATAAGACGTGGAAATTTGCCTTTAGTTTGACGGGTTGGTTAAAACACATCATTGTAACTCACAAACAATAAATACAATAATAAAACTAGACCTGCAAGAAGTTATCAACGGGGTTCAAGCCCCTCAAGATTGTGTCGCCCACTAGTGGCCACTATGAGTCAAATTATGCACAGACCCTCAGAGTGATATGACAAACTTCTCTCCAAAGTTTTGTGTAAGGTGATTTTTTCCAAAAATATGCAACACTTCCTGTTCTGACCGGTAGCTGCAGGAAGGTGTTTCATTGTAACGTGCACATTTCTTGGAGGAATGATAGTCGTCTGAAAACTTTTGATCATGAGTGTCTGTAGATTATATCTGCAAAGTTTCATGCAGATTACACTTGCGGCCTTGGAGGGGTTCGAAAAACTAGGTTTTGCATATTTCCTGATTTCGCAAAAAAAAAAAAAAATTGGCTGAAATGGGCGTGGCCTATATCAGGAGGTTCAGCTGTTTTCAGGTTTGTGAATGTGCCATTTTTGCAGAAAGAAAAAAAAAGCAGCATTTACAACAACACCTACAGATATATAGATGTTAACTGATTGCATATTTTAAAAAAATATAGAGTGACAGACTTCTTCATTGACCAAAGGTTGCAACGAGGCAAACACTGCAAACATCTGTCACAATCCAGTGGATAACCAGAACAAATTTCAGCTCTGTGGGACGTACGGATGATTTATTTTGAACTTTAATCCATCATTACCAAATTTTATGCAGCGACTGAATAATGACGATTGAAACCAAATTTCTTACGAATCCATTCAGTCAATTACGAGATATAAACTAGTAATCTTTGTGGCGCCCCCTAGTGGCCGACTAGCACCAAATATTGCACAGACCCTCGGAGTGATATGACGACCTACTCTCCAACGTTTTGTGTTAATAGACGTAACTTTCCAAATATATGCAACACTTCCATTTGGTATAAAGGACTTTCTGGAGACTATCTCGGTTTCTGTTTCGGCTCTACAGCGTCTTTTCCTTTTTACCTCTTCGACCGTCTCAGGTCTCACATACGAAAAGCGAAAAGTCTTTCCACACAGGAGGTAAGTGTGTGAGAGTAAACAGGTGACAGTACTGATGAATAACACACTGGTCCTTCTCAGCACACACAGCTGTCTGCAATGAAATTTATTGTCAGTGGTTGAAATATTTTGATGAGTGAGCAATTTGCAGAGCAGCAGTAACGTGTGACGATGGTTAGCGTGAGAGGACAGAAACTGATCTGTCAGCCAGTGTTATGACAACCATCTATACGCAAAACAGAAACACAGGAGAACACAGGCCGACCAGACTGTGACCTTCACTGGTGGATGGTGAAGAATGTGAAATGTTTGTTTGATAGGGAATAATTCAGTGTGTGTGTGTGTGTGTGTGTGTGTGTGTGTGTGTGTGTGTGTGTGTGTGTGTGTGTGTGTGTGAGAGAGAGATGTTTTCTACCAACCCGTGTGTTGTTTCTCTCAGCCTTCAGCTCTGCGATCTCCTCCTCCTTCTCCAGAAGCTGCTCCCGGCACACGTTCACCTCCTTTGTTAGTGCAGCGAATTCCTAGAATAGAAAAGGACAAATACAGTAACATGTAACTGCTACTTACTAAAGCTCCGTTTTGTTTGGTTTTTTGTAAGACGCTGGACGCTTGAGAAAAAAATGAAAATTTTTGGTAATGTGGAGGCCACTGGAGCGATCTCATGTCAGTTCATAAAAGTAGATGCATGTTCTTAGACTGTCGACTCCAACGCCTCAGGTTGCCGACAGGAAAACAACAAAACAGGAATAAAAAAATAACAAAATATTCAACTGGATTAATGAAAAACCTCCTACTGTAACGCAGTGGTAAAAGGATATTTTAAGGGTTTTTCACGTCAGGTTAAGAGGAAACGACGACAGTGTTATAGATATCAGGCCTCTGATGGATGACTTGCCCAGAGATGTAAGTGATGTCGTCCGAAGAGGAAATGCCACATTGGATGAAGAAGCTCCAGGGTAACGGTCGGGGTAATTATGTTTTGATAATGTAAAGACAGACTGCTTAATGTATTTTTGTTTGTTTTATTTATTTATTGATTTGTAATTTGGTTCCTTATTTCTTTGTTTCATCTTTCATTTTTATTTTTTGTATTACTTTCCTTTAGTTCAGGCCTGTATTGTGATGATGTTTGTATTAGAGTCGTGCAAATAACGAAAATAAAATTTGTGATAATAATAATAAAGTAACATATACTACAGGTTGCTGCTGTTCACCTTCTCTAATCTCATCCTCCACTGGTGAGACAGATCTGTCACGTCTCATCCTCAGGCTGTTGCTCCTGTGAAGGTGTCGGAGCCTCTGTGTGAGACGCTTCGATCGGTGATTGTGTGTTTTTAAAACTTATTTCAGGGCTAGCAAGTCCACCCGGGCGTTGCGTTTACATCAATGCTGATCGGAGCCAGAGCCGATAAATACCTGCGTCTACTGAGGAGTTCTTTGACCCAGGTGTGAATGCTGATTGTAACCTTTCCATTGCCGACAAAATGTTGGAGGGCCTTAGCTAGTTTTTTGACCAATTGAAAAGCGGCTCTAGAGTGGGTTGGAGGGCGTCAAATAAGGGACATTTTCAGCAACATGATATGATAAATAAATCAAGTTTAACAAACTAATATCATTAGAATTGTTTATTGGTCAAGATCAGATCAGAACATGTTCTGTAATGTAGAAGTACCAGTAAAGTTATCTCACTGTTTACCTATGAACCGCAGTTCAACCATCATCTTCCTCTCCTTTGCCGCTGCAGTCTACCACACCTACAAAACTAAGGTCATGTTTACATCTGAAACAATGGAGGTGGAGACAACAACCACTTCCTGTCTGTCCTGTGCGAGTCACCTTAACTCCTTTGTGCTTTTCTGGCAGCTGTAATGTTCCAGCTGAGAATCTTCTGTCTTACTTTCTGAGAGTTAATCATGTACAGTAGAACGCACAGACTCGACCAGGAAGACGACGACGACAGACGTTAACACGGGACGAAGACAAAAAAAAGATGGTGGCTACCTCATCAGAGAGACATCATACGACATACAGCGTCTCAGTGAACAGACTTGTTCTGATGAACCTCACATTACTCTCACGTCTTGCTCTGGTTCTCTTCACACACACACACACACACACACACACACACACACACACACACACACACACACACACACACACACACACACACACACACACACTGCTTTTAGGAATTACATGCATGGTTGGACCTAAAGAATGTGCCATCCTGATTTTTTGCCCTGTAGCAGGCACCCTGAGTGGTGAGGCCTTCTTGCTACGTTTCAGAGGGTGGGAGATGTGTGAGTGTGCAGGGGCTGGGGAGGGGTGGAGGTGGTGGTGATGTGTGGGGGGGGGTGGGTGGCTTCTGGAACTGATCGTTCTTTTCAGTCACTACCACAACTATTCTCCCTTCCCTTCACTCCAGCCTCTGAGCTTTTCCAGCGACTGGCACAGATTCAGCCCCGCTAAAGGAGCAAGACAGGGGGAAGTCTGCTATTGGCTCAGACCGAGGTCTCCACTCTCTGCGAGCCAATGACAGACCGTAAGAGGCGGGCCCAGGGGTAATTACAGAGTGGCTTACTTCCTACATTCCAGAGCAGACGCTGAGGTTGACTTGTACAGCAACCTTAAGATCTCTCTGAGGCTCTCTCCACCGTTTATGAAACCTCCAGTTTTCCCCTAATGTTCCTAAACTCATCATTTACACACACAGAAAAGTGGGAGAGTTTGGTGCCTGGTTGTAAACTCACATAATGGAAGTGCAGTTAAGTAACTTGAGTCTAGGAAAATCTAACCATAGAGAAACACCCGCACAGGGCTCAGTGGCTATCAAACCAACTGATCCATTGGCTTTTATTTATTACATTTTTGAGGATCAAAAATTTACAAATGAAAGACAACAGCAGGAATACACAGCTCACTCAACACAGAACACATTCTCCACACTTTCCAAAATTAAATAGATGAATGGGATTTATTAAAATATAAAATAAGATTAAAAAAAAACCCAGAAGGATCATGGAATTACATTCAGCAGGTGTAATCAGGCATAAAAAGGGAATAATGGCATACAAAGCACAGAGACCTACAAGGAAATGTATTTCGAGATCTTGGCCCATGCTAGTTCGTACAGTCCACTCCGAAGCGCCTGAGCCCCATCAACTCCAGTACAGTCCAGAAATGGATCTCAAACATGAAAAAACGCCTTTTATTTATTGTTTTGAATAATTTCAATATTATTCTATTTATTTATAACATCACACGTGAAGCAGAAAAACAGATTTCTCAGTCTTTTACATGGTTTAATCATCATTTCTGTGAAATTTTAACCTGCAAACGTTTGAATTTTTTGCTTGAAAAATGACTAAAACAAATAATCAACTAATCAATTAACTGACTAATTGTTGAAGATCTAAATTTAAGAATTTAATCCACACACGTGAATATAAAATATGAGTCTTTTATACATGTGAACGCAGCCATTGGCATTCAAGCCTGATCCCATTTCTCCCTGCAGCAGGGAAACTGGTGTCTGGCTCAGTAGATGAGCGACATGCTGGTTAGAAGTGGACTGAGCTGCTCTGTAAGCCTTAGAACAGGGGAGGGGATTAGGGGGGGGGGGTACATGAATATGTGTGCCAACCTATTAAAGGAACAGCGCACCAAAACACAGAGAACACACAAAAGCTTTTCAGGGATAACTGTACTCGGCGTTCAGATGTAGACTGAAGGACATCCCAGCACCTTTGTGTCTGTATTATAATAGAACTAAGAAATCTGCACAGGGATGAGCAGGTGGCATTAATGAGTAATGTCTCAACAATTACATTTTTTACCTCTTTAGACTGTATTTTGCATAAATTATAGCATGAAAAATATTCTCATTCGAATTCAACAGATTCTTGAAGCAAAATTTATTTCAAAAGGAGAAATTTAACTTACAAATTCTTAAATCTTATCTTCTTAAATCTTAAATGTGGTTCATTGTATTCTTTGTACTGAAGTGGTATTTCACGTTGTAGTAATTTATAATCTATTTTATGTTTATGTTTCTCTGTCCTTTTTAGTGCTACTGTGTTTGTTTAGCAGGGAAGAAATATTTGAATAAATCTGGTTCATCGTTATTTAATAGTCAGTTTTTGTAATAAAAAAACAGTAAGTCTTCAGAAAATGCAGATTTTGGAGGATGTAGTCATAATGAAATTCAAGGATATTAATGCAATGCTTCTTCTAGATAAGTAACCTTGACAAACTGTAGCTTTAATGCTGCTCTTTTAGCATGTTTTTATGTTTTAATGTCACATGAATAATGTGTTTTGTGTCTAACGTGTCTTTTGATGTTTTTGTTTTTTAAATGTGACCTGCATCCTGATCTGTGGAGTTTGGTATCTCGTTATGTTAGTGACAGATAAACCTGATTCTGATTCTGAACATACTATGTGAAAATAAAAAAGTAAAATGTGTCGGTGTTCACACTTGGGGCAAGTTGAGGCATCTGAAACAGTGAGGTTCCTCTCTGTTGGCACAATGGGATCCTGTTTGGCTGCAGCTGCTTCAAGCTAATTTTCATAACACTAGTTAACTAATTTACTCCACATTTTGTTTAAAAAAAAAAAAAAAAAAAAGTATGGGTACTCTTCGTGGATTCTCAAAAATGTGTCAACACATCACATCATGGCGACAGTTGAATAATCTCTTCTTCATCGTCAGCCTGCGCTGCATCAGGAGCTGAGATCGGAACCAATAGGCCTCCCTCCTACATAATGACTTTAGCCGTTCTTAAAAGCTTATAGCGTGTGCTGAAATCTGACACTGCGCAGAGGGCATCTGTTCTCCTGGAGGAGGACTCACCGTCAAAAACTAATTAGGCACCACAATGGCTTCTATTCAGAGCTGTGTAGCCTGCCGCTCTAACACACACACACACACACAGTGGCAGAGAGAAAAAGTCAATCTAACAGGAGGAGCTGACGAACGCTGGGTCGCACCTCCTCTTCTCCTCGACTAACTTCCATCAAAACGCGACATCACACTACACTGACTGTGTTCTTAATACATCCTGTGCTGTCCCCACTTACACATGCCTCAATCATTGTAAAGAGAATCCTAATCCTCCATGATGCTTTATTTATTAGAGGCAGATACCTGTGTGGTTTCTTTTCACTGCGACAAAACAACAGTATCGTAATCTGTCCATTCTCTTTCATAACTTGTCATGATGAGAAGCCAGAGCAGTATCTGCTTAAACTAGAGGAGACGGAGGTAAAAGGTTTCACAGATTCTGACTCTGTGTGTCAACGCTGGCTCCGGTTATTGTCTATGAACAGGAAAAATAATCATCTTAAAGAATAAATCACGTATGAGTAATCTGTACTAAACACCGTGATAGTTTCTGTGATTCGTCAGCGTTCTCACCTCCTGTATTTTCACCAAGAACCCACAGACCTGAAACCACAGTGAGGTTCTGTTACTGCAAATGCACTTCCTGTTTATAAAAAAAAAAAAAGAAGCCGATTGCGGT